ATCGGTGTATAGCCGGCCAGATCCAACCGTTCGTGCGCCGTTCCGTTGATGGGCGATGGTAGTCGATGGTCGATAGTGGCTTGGGAAGGGGGTGATTTTGTTAGAAATTAAACTTTTATATGACTAGAGTGTTTTAGCAAAATTTTAAACGTAAGAGGTTAAAAAATGATTCAAAAAATAATATTATATTTATATTTTAAAAAGAAGGCAATTTAATATTTTATATAATATACGATGAATTTATTCTTCCCAATCAAACATATTAATATAACATACCACTAATTTATTTCAAATTAACAAAACACAATTTTCTAAACATTTCTAATAATCTTCGAGATAATCTATTTTTTTATTAATATAACATTCTTCTGTAATACAATATTTATTGAACAATCTTTTGTTAATATAACATTTTCTATATCCTATAATACAACATTTCCTAAACAAAGGCATCAGTCAAAAAATAACTTCAAAGCCATATCATCATTTCCCGTAATAAATTCATGCAGCTTCTCCCTTTAGACAAAATAGAAGAATTGAAATAAAAACAAGAGAAAGAAACGTAAAACTACGATGAAAGACGTAATCAGGCTCTAGAAGGAGAATATGTGTAAAAGCAGTGGAGAAAATACAAAAAGCAAAATCACCNTTATTTTCCCAAAATCTGTTATTGAAAAAGGTAGCTTTTATTCGACCCGTCACTTGTGTTCCGATTTACTCCGTGACAACGATCGATCTGGGCAAATTTGTCAACACTCTCTTAACTTTTATTAGACGCAAGAATCACCGCATTTGGACATTAAAACGAAAGTTACGCCTAAAGTAACCCAGCGTGTTCAGAAATTAGTAGGATTGATTTTACTGGCTGACTTGCTCCCCAAGTTAAGTTTTTTATTGGCTGACTTGTTTTCCAAGTTAAGCTTATTTGGCTTCTAAAACTCTTCACAGGAGGTGATTGGTTGACCTAAACTCTCACGTTTGCTCTTATATTACTTAAACTCTCACGTTTAATTTTTTTTTAACCAATAATTACTATTGATTATATAAGAGGTAATCTGGATATTTTTATTTTTTTAAATGCTTTAAGATTACTTAGTAATTTTAATTTTGTTACAATTTCACTCTTAACTATTAAAACTTTTGGATAATAATACCCTTATTTTAAAAACAATTTACAAAAATATTTATGAACTATTTTATTCTTATATATACAATTTTTATAGAATAATACTACACCAATAACACTCTCTCACAAATTTTCTCTCATAATTCTGATGTGACAGTTCACAATTAGTCAATTTACAACGAGTCATACGTGAGTCTTATTAATTAATTGCGAGCTGTAACGTCAGGATTGTAAGAGAAAATTTGTGAGAAAGAGTTATTGATGTAGTATTACTCTTTTTATAACATAAATACCCTTGACCTCAAAAAAAATTTACCCAAAACTAGTAGCCAGATTTGGCCACCACCGCCGACATCGAAAAGGCCGAATCTATTCTGGTCGTTTTCGACCAAATCCATTCATTGATTTGGCTGGAAATAACCAAATCGGTGCATAGTCGACCAGATCCAACCGTTCGTATGTCGTTCCGTTGACTAGCGATGGTGGTCGACAGCCAATAGTGGCTTGGGAAGGGGGTGATTTTGTTAGAAATTAAACTTTTATGTGGCTAGAGTGTTTTAACAAAATTTCAAATTTAGTATTTTATATAATATATCGATTAATTTATTCTTCCCAATTAAACATATTAATATAACATATCACTAATTTATTTCAAATTAACAAAACACAATTTCTTAAGTAAATCTAATAATTTTTGAGATAATCTATTTTTTTATTAATATAATATTCTCTATAATATAATATTTATTGAACAATTTTTTCCGTTAATATATCATTTTCTATATCCTATAATACAACATTTCCTAAACAATCGTATCCGTAAAAATTAACTTCAAAGCCATATCATCATTTCCCGTGATAAATTCAGGCAGCTTCTCCCTCTAGACAAAATAGAAGAATTGAAATAAAAACAAATAAAAGAAATAAAAACAAGAGAAAGACACGAAAAACTAAGATGAAAGACGTAATCAGGCTCTAGAAGGAGAATATGTGTAAAAGCAGTGGAGAAAATACAAAAAGCAAAATCACCGAGGTTTGGCAAAATAACATTTTCCACCCTTTAAGTTTCAAAATAACACTTTCTCACCCTTCGTTAATAGTTAAGTTTTGTCATGTTTTCTGTTAATATTTTAGGGAAGGAAGGGTGTGAAAGTGTCTTTTCGCGGAACCTTGGGTGGGAATATGTCGTTCTCCTGAAGCAAAAACTTGTTGAAGAAGGGGACCGTGACAGTGACACATAAGTCTTTGAAGTTTTAGACTCCTTGCAAAGGAAGCAGACAGAGGCCAGTGGGATGACAGATGGAGGGTGGGTGGGTGGGGTCTTAATGTCTTATTTTATAATTTACCCCACTTTGGCTTGGGAACCGATCAATCAAATGTTAACCTCAAGCCGTAACTGTGCTTATCGCCGTTGCACAAGAGAACACATTGTCTCCCGTCCCTCCTTTATGCTTTTCTGCTGTATATAAACAAATGAACCCAGTCCTCTCATTCTCGCACAGCAAATTCTTTTCCGCTTTCCATCAAAACTGATGCAATCCACTGCTCTCTCTCTAGAGGGTTCTGTTTTTTTTTTATTATTATTATTTTTGTATTGAATCAGAAATGGGTTTTATTGTTTGGTAACCAGAAATGGGCAATCTTGAGGATTTCGTTTTCGCTTCCCTTCGAACTATGATGAAATCATCTGTCTACGGAAGGATTCTTGACCCTGATTTCTCTGTCCAATCGATCTATCAAATAATAATTTGATAGTTTGAAGCCCCGGGTTTGCTCGGTAAGTAAATACATAGTATCAGTCAATCTAATCTCTATTTAGCTTCTATCTATATTATCTTTCCAGAGATACTGGTAGATTTTTATAATAAGCCTTCTTTTGTTTTTGGGTGGTTTGCAGGGTGTTTACCATGGTAGTTGCGTGACATCGCCTGGTTCTTAATTCAAGTAGAACCTCAACTACTATGAAGATACTGGATTTTACCTCCGGTAGAACCTCAACTACTATGGTGATCCCGGATTTTACCTCCGGTAGAACCTCAACTACTATGGTGATCCCGGATTTTACCTCCGGTAGAACCTCAACTACTATGGTGAGAGTAGATTCTACCTCCGGTAGAACCTCAACTACTATGGAGGTACCCGATTTTAGGCACCAGCTCATGTTGCTCTCATGCTGCTCAATCAGCAGAACACTCCACAAACACTTTGTTTTTTTGCATCATTGCGAAACAATGGTCAAAATTTTCAAATTGTTAAAGGACGTGTCGCCAAGCCTACGACAGCTTAGACAGTTTACTGTACAGCAGCACTCGGGGGGGAGAAGCCCCTTGATGCCCCACTACACAAGTGGAGAAAGAATCTTTAGCCAGTGCTAAAGAAAAAGCACACAAACAGAAAAAGAAGAAGAGTGCAAAACACACTACAGTCATTTATCAGCTTTAATTACAGCTTCTTTCAGAGAAGATCTTAAAGATGGTATTCTTGCATTCGCAAGAAGAGAAATCTTTTTTAAGAATTTCTGTTTCGCTATCTTAGCCAGCTAGCCACCCTGCAAGCAGAGGGGTGATTTTTAGAGTTGGGTTGGAGTTGGACACCATTTTGGTGTAGCATTGGAGATGCCACCAAATTGGTGTTTCATTGGAGATGTGCTTAAGTCTTTCCATGGGACGTTGCTGTCACACCAGCTTAACTTTTGGATTATAGGTGTCTCAGCCAGCTCAGTTTTGGCAGCCAAGACAAGGACAAGACTTTGGCAGAAAACTGAGAGAATGCTTCAAAAACGCCTTTTCAAAACAAGTGGTAGAACCTCAACTATTTTGAGGTTCTGGATTTTATCTCCATGGAATTTTACTTAAGGTAGGAACTCAAGTATTTCGAATGATTTTCATTACACGTCTTAAAGTCAATGCTTCTGTAATTGCAATTTTTATTTCATTCAAAGCTCAGCGATTATGAATTCCAATTTGAGAAATCATATGGCAGAAAATAAAGTCTAATACCTTTCGTTTATGAAAGACATATTTAAAACTCATGTTATATCAATGTCTTAATACTTGTTTGTACCTTGACTCTTACTTCAGGTAGAACCTCTCATAACTACTAAGACCAAGACCATTTGAATCTCTCTAGTTCAACAAGTTTCTCAAATCAGGCACTATTTGTGCCTTTGATTATGGAAACCGTGTTGTAGAAAGTGAAAGGTAAGAAAGAGCATGCTTTAAAAGTTATTCCCTATTTCAACTTATGTATTTGTTGCAATTGACACATTCACAACTAATGTATGTTTGTCTATAATTCTTAATTTAGGTAGATCGTCAACTGCTTGATGTTTGTCTATACTTCTTAATTTAGGTAGATCGTCAACTGCTTGACGATTTGGCTTTTGATTTAGGAAATCAAGTTGCCAGAAATACCTATTCCAAGGTGAGAAATCATGCCTAGCCTTTATGGGTAATTTTCCATTCCAATTTATGCATATTTTTCATGAGCACATCCAAAATTAGAATTTGTTTGTGGTTTGTATCTTAAGTAGAATCTCATTTACTACCAATTCACCATTTAGCTTATGAGTGTGCAGTGATATTTTTAAAAATTACTTTCTTATAGATGACTTGTACAAGTGGTACATAAGAAACATCTCCAGAACTTATGTTTTTTTCTTTGTGACTTTCGATTCAGGTAGAGGAACAGTTTCTACTAAGTCATTATTGCTTGTGGACTATTTGTTTATGGATATTTATATTTAGACTAATGCTTCTTCATGTGTGTTTCTTCAGGTAGAAGCTCCACTAATTGCAGANTTTCGAATGATTTTCATTACACGTCTTAAAGTCAATGCTTCTGTAATTGCAATTTTTATTTCATTCAAAGCTCAGCGATTATGAATTCCAATTTGAGAAATCATATGGCAGAAAATAAAGTCTAATACCTTTCGTTTATGAAAGACATATTTAAAACTCATGTTATATCAATGTCTTAATACTTGTTTGTACCTTGACTCTTACTTCAGGTAGAACCTCTCATAACTACTAAGACCAAGACCATTTGAATCTCTCTAGTTCAACAAGTTTCTCAAATCAGGCACTATTTGTACCTTTGATTATGGAAACCGTGTTGTAGAAAGTGAAAGGTAAGAAAGAGCATGCTTTAAAAGTTATTCCCTATTTCAACTTATGTATTTGTTGCAATTGACACATTCACAACTAATGTATGTTTGTCTATAATTCTTAATTTAGGTAGATCGTCAACTGCTTGATGTTTGTCTATACTTCTTAATTTAGGTAGATCGTCAACTGCTTGACGATTTGGCTTTTGATTTAGGAAATCAAGTTGCCAGAAATACCTATTCCAAGGTGAGAAATCATGCCTAGCCTTTATGGGTAATTTTCCATTCCAATTTATGCATATTTTTCATGAGCACATCCAAAATTAGAATTTGTTTGTGGTTTGTATCTTAAGTAGAATCTCATTTACTACCAATTCACCATTTAGCTTATGAGTGTGCAGTGATATTTTTAATAATTACTTTCTTATAGATGACTTGTACAAGTGGTACATAAGAAACATCTCCAGAACTTATGTTTTTTTCTTTGTGACTTTTGATTCAGGTAGAGGAACAGTTTCTACTAAGTTATTATTGCTTGTGGACTATTTGTTTATGGATATTTATATTTAGACTAATGCTTCTTCATGTGTGTTTCTTCAGGTAGAACCTCCACTAATTGCAGAATTTGGTGCACTCGATGATTGTATGAGTTAGACACGACTCTTCTTTTAACTGCAGTCGGTCACCTCTGGATCCAGAACAGAGATCCTCCTCAAAAACGATATCTGCAATTATTGTAGTTTGTGGATTTTTCCGTTCAACCATGAGGATGAAGATTTTGTCAATTCTCAACAGCTTGTCCAGGAGACTGTGTGTTTGTGAAGAAACTGGACATGCACTCACGACTTCAGCTCGTCAAAGCCTGTCAGTGAAGTTTATGTTGGAGATAGCAGTGACAGACAGTGAACCCATGAATGCATATGGGTAAATTGAATATCCTCCAATCAGTATCTGGGAATAGAACTCTAATAGGCAGTTCATCATAATTAAATTTCTCTAGAGAAATATTGTTATTGTTGACATTACTTATAATAATGTTTCATTCATGCTGTGGTGTATATCCAAGCTCTGTAGTTTTTTAGGGACGAAACAGTTGAAAACTCAAACCTGTTCTTTGTCTCTATGTCACAGTATGACCATTAATTAACACATGACATGTTCCTTATTGGACATTTTCCATTAACACATGGCATGTTCCTTATTGGACATTTTCCAAAAATGTTGTGTACTCAAAATTTCTAATGGTGTTGTGCTGCTCCAATTAGGGCTGAATGTCTATGATTTGAATATTAATCAATTGAGACATGTCGGTATTGTATACAACTGCACTGTCCATGAAAGATTCTATCAATAACACAAAGCAGACGTTGAGAAGCACAAAAGGCAAAAAATTGTGGAGAGGGGACTCATCAGTACTTAAAAAGAAAGAACCTTTCGTAAATAAAAGATTAGGACAAGGAATCTACCGATTTTCTTAATAGGATGACTCATAGTTATGTTGTAAACTTGAAATAATAATAATATTCTAGGTCGGTCCAGAAAAAAGATAACAAAAGGAGAAAGAAGATTTCTCTGATTTTTTGAACTTTTCTATTAGGGCAGTTGGGATGGAAGGAAAAAAACACTTCCAAGTGGAGAAAGAATCATAAAAAGGAAATCAGAATTAAAGGTGGGGTCTTCTTCTTTAGTTTAAAGTCTTTATACATAGAGTGCTTCAGAGCTAAGTTTAATACAGTAAAACAAATTAATTTTTTTAAATTTTATTAATGGATACTTGTAGAGCGTCGGAGCAACGCCAGTAGTTTGACCAATCACTCAAAGAATGAGAATATAAATAAGTGATCACCCACTTCCCTCTTCTTATTTCTCAAACACCAAGATTTTCCGATCAAATTAAACCAGAGAGATATCTAGCTGAATCAGAAATGGACTTTGTTGTTGGTTTCAGATTCTATCCAACTGATGAAGAAATCATCCGTCTTCTGAAGCAGAAGAGGCTTGACCCTGATTTCTCTGTCCAAGCTATTTCTGAGACTAATATCTACGATTTCGAACCTTTTGAGTTACCTAGTAAGTGGGTTCTTGCTATCAGCCCATTAAATTCTCTAAAAAGAATGCTTCTAACAGTTTTTTTTTTTTGCTTTGGGTGTGTTACAGGTCTTTCGCGAATTCAGTCCGATGAAAAATGGTGCAACTTTTTCTGTGCACCTGATTATATAAATGCTGATACCAAACGCGTTAGTAGAGCAACTAAGACAGGGTACTGGAAGGTAACCGGCGAAGTTCGTAAAATCAAGGCTAAACGCAGCAAGGAGGTGATTGGTAGCAAAAGAATCTTGGTTTTCTATGAACGTCCCGGTGGTTCTAAGGAGATTAAGACTAACTGGGTTATGCATCAGTTTTCTGTCGATGATGATTCTCTTTATAAGGTATATGAACCTTTAGTTTCTAATTTATTTGCTTGGTGTTTTAATTGTTGTACATTTTGCTTTGCATTGAACTTCACTACTTAATATGGTTGGCTTAAGTTCCTTGTTTTAGTTATGAATCATCTATGGAATGAAAAACTTCTGCTAATGTTCATTTTATATACTGAAATGTTGCGTACTAAGTGAAATGTTGCGTACTTAGTGAAATGTTGCGTACTCAGTTCTCTTGATTGATTGTGTTTGTGTTACTTGTTGAAGATTGAAATTGAAGTGCTAGAATCTTGTTTTCAATTTAGATATGATCGGATTAGGCTCCAAACTATAAAAGAACTACAGTTTCATTTTTGTTCTATGTTTTGTGGACATGCTATGCAATTAGAATATCTGTCAGTTACCACTTGAGTTATGGGTAGTAACTAATTTAATGGTGAATTTTTCATCCTGCATAATAATTTTTGAGATTAATCGTGCTTCGATGTTAAGATTGCAAGGAAAAGGAAAAACTGAAAGAATATCATATGCAGAAATAGATATCTACATGGATTATTTCTTTTTTTTTCTTTTTTTTTCTTGAACAATGTCAGAATTTTGATCTTTGTTTCTAATTCAAAGCAAGATTATTATTCATTTGACTTTACAAATTTAGTCCATGTAAGATTTATTTTGATGGATGAGAATTTGTTGTCTTTTCTTTTTCCACGTAGAAGTTGGGTAACTAGTACTCTGTCATTGTTAGTGGAAATTTGCTATTGCTGGAAATTAAATGTTAGTTCACAATTCCACAATAGCAATTCATTTACTGTGACAATTATTCTGTGTAGAAGGATTTTGTTGTGTATCGCATAAAAAGAAAAAGGGATAAGAAGCGTCATGTTTCAACCAACGTTGCAGTTCAACCAAAAAAGAAGCCCTGCATATCAACCAGGAATAAGGGTGAACCAAGTCATAGGATTGCTTATGATAATGGCAATCCTGTTGAAGATAATGCTTATCCAGAATCTCAGTTACCAAGTAATTCTTTGGTTTCTAATCCGGGAAATTGTGTTGTAGAAAATACTTCTACACAATTGCAATCACATGTTGCAGAAAATAATTCTCCGGAATCACAACTACCACCAAGTAATTCATCAGCTTCAAATCCTAGATATCAAGTTACAGAAAGTACTTTGCAAGTGGATCCCCAGAATCTTGCCAAATCAAATATTCTCAATGAGTGTAATGGGTTGGATCACACCTCTCCCTTGGTACTGCAGTCACCGATAAATCCAGAACAGGGACCCTCATATTCCAGTGCCTCTAGTAATGACCATGACGTATTGAGTTCTCCATTTGGCGACAAGAAGGAAGATAACTCTGTGAATCGATGTCAGTGTTTCCAGAACAAATACCCTTGTGGAGACACGGGAGATAGTGCTCTTCCTCCTTACTTCAACTCAATAAAATCAGTAGCTGGATTTTGCAGTGGGGTTAGCAGTGAATTAGACACTGAAACCTTCGGTGAATGGGTAAATGGTTTATTTGAGTATAATTCCTAGCATTTGTAAACCACAACCAAATTCTGTATTTTTGACATTGTAAAGATGTTTCACTCATGTATCTGTGTATTCCAAACCATGTAATCTTTCAATATGGTTATATCTTTCTGGAGTTTGTTATTTAGAACATTGGAGAACTCCATTTGTTTGTTCCTATCATTATTAGCGAAAACAATGTGTAAGGCTCACACACAATTGTTTCTCCTCTTATATGATTACTGTGAGGATGTCATAGGTAAATGAACTCCTGTTTCACTTCTTAGTGTCCGAACGGAAAATGCCATTAAGTTGCTGGTGTTCCTAAATGCAAACACATTTAAAAGCTGGTCTCATTACTTGTTAGGTCTCTCTGATAAAAGTTTATTTGGTACTTATTGATCTACTCTCAAAGTTTGAGCCATTAGATGTTTCAATTAGGTTTTAACAAATGAAATACAGAAGTTCCCAAAAATAATTAGCATCTAGATGGAATGGTAAAAGGAATGAGTTCTTGGGTTCAAACCTTGAGTTCACCTACGATAATAATATTGTGACTTATCTGGTCCTTTAGGCTTGTATAATGTTTAATAAACTTTAGGGATTAGTTGAGATACGCACAAGCTCAGGGGCGGATCCAGCCACTTTTTGGGTGGGCCATGAATTTTTTTTTTAAATATTAATATGTATAATTTATATATTTTGGCCCATCCTAACAAAAATATTAATGAACAAAAGTATTAATGTATAATTAATTTTTACTTTGGCCCACCCTAGCAAAAATTTCTGGATCTGTTACTGCGCAAGCTGGTCCAGACACCCGGTTACCAAAAAAAATAAATAAATAAACAAATAAAATGGTAAAAGGAAGAAACAACACTAACTTACCAAGGACAGTGGAGGGTTGATATCAATACACCCCTAAAACTCTGCAAAACTATATGTTAAGCACCACTAAGATCAAAAACTACACCATACACCCCTTACCATCACTATTGTAAACTAAATTTGATATGAAAAAGGTTAAATTGGACGTTTCACATAACAATTTCAGCAATAATACATTTTTAAAAATTACAAGCGTATACTTTTTAAGAAAACTTTAAGGGCAATACCATCTTTTAAGTTGTCAGTTCAAGTCAATCATCCAATACTATAGGCAAAATTGAGTGTATAATATAGTTCATGATGGCTATTCAATATTTCAATTTGCCAATTTTGAGAAGTAATACTAATATTAACCCTTTCATGGAAGGTGGCGCATTTTTTTTTTTTCCATTTTATATTATAGAGAAATTATATTAAATGTCCCTAATTCAGGGACCGAATTGAAATCTAGCCAAAAAAAACAAAAAAAGGGTCTCTCAAAAATATCCCTTCCACATTTTCAAAGATAATAATACCCTTGACATAAAAGCAACCCTAACTTACTCGAACCTTAACACTTTTCTCCTCACATTTAAACTCTGAACAAACCCAAACACCCTCTATTCATCAATCAAAATTTTTACCGTGACTTGAAGTGCATTTGGTGGAGATTAGAAGAAATCAGTTTGCTAGGTTTAAAAAGGTAACAGTTATAATCTTCTTTTTATGATATATTGTTGTTGGAGTTTATTTTAAGATTATGTCATGTATAGATTTGGGCAATTTTTTATTGTTGAATGTTTGTTTGATGGTTTATTGTTTGATTATTGTGACTGGGTGTTTGTGAAGAAGTGATTTTGTAGTTTTGTTGGAAGAAACTAATAAATGGGAGTGATATGAAGCCGTGAAAAATTACGAAACGGATTGCAAATTTCGCCCGATAGACCTTATCGGACACAATTGAGCTAATCAAGTGAAAATTTGAAGTGGTGACAAAACCCCCCCTCCCCACTACATAGGGTGATATTGGAAGGTATCGGGCACTTGGTATTCTGTAGGGGTGGGTGATTCCAGGTACCCTGCATTTTTCAGGGGAACCGGAACCGCACAGTGCAGATTCCCAAAAAAAGGAACCGAAATCAAAATCGCACAGTGCAGGTTCTTAAACTCAAGAAATCGGATCCTAAAATGCAGGTTCTGGTTTCATTCCCGCGTACCCTATAAAAAATCAATTACCCTCCTATTAGTTTAAAAATGGCAAAAATACCTTAAAAATTTACAAATACACCCCTAACAAATTTTGATTACTCATTCATTTGTGTTCAATGTGACTCATAAATCCTTTGATCTCTAGACAACACTTGAATTTAATCAATTCATCACAATTCACATAAAATTCTTCAATCAAAACCAAAACCAAAACAATTAATTAAATTAATAAATCTATAATTTAATATTATAATTAATTAAATTTCTAATAATTTAATTAAGTATTGTACTATTGTTTATAATGAAATATTATAATTAATTAAGTAATTATACTATAAATCTATAATGTAATGTAATGTTATAATTAATTAATTTTTTAATCATTTAATTAAGTAATGTACTAATGTAATAAATTACTAATGTTTATAATGTAATGTTATGAATTTATAATTAATTAAGTAATCATTTAACTATGTAATGTTATAATTAATTAAGTAATTATAATATAATATAATGTTATTATTAATTAAGTAATTATTTAATTATAATATAATGTTTTAATTAATTAAATTTCTAATCATTTAATTAAGTATTGTACTAATGCATATAATAGAATATTATAATTAATTAAGTACTCATACTATAAATTTATAATGTAATGCTATAATTAATGAAATTTCTAATCATTTAATTAAGCATTATGCTAATGTAGTAAATTACTAATGTTTATAATATAATGTCATAATTAATTAAGTAATCATTTAATTATGTAATGTTATAATTAATTATATGATCATACTATAATGTAATGTTATAATGAATTAAGTAATCATACTATAAATCTTAATGTAATACTATAATTAATTAAATTTATAATCATTTAATTAAGTATTGTACTAATGTTATAATTAATTAAATAATCATTTAATTATACAATGTTATAATTAATTATGTAATCATATTATAATGTAATGTTATAATTAATTAAATTTCTAATTATTTAATTAAGTAATGTACTAAATTATTAATGTAATGTTATAAACTTATAATGAATTAAGTAATCATTTATCTATAATGTAATGTTATAATTAATTAAGTAATTATTTAACTAGTAATGTATTAATATTTATCAAATTATCAAATATAATTAATTAATTAATTACAAATTTACTACATATATACTTAGAATTTGATAATTGAAGTAAATAACTAAATATTATATTATTATTCAATCAAATATACTATTTTATTCAAAAATAATTCTTTTAATAACATTAAGGCTATGTTTGGCTTATTATTTTTATTCATATTTTGGATCGGATTCTTCAGATAGCGTTTGTTTTATTATTTACATAACACTGTCCTAATAATTCAATCCTGACAACTATCCTGACAAATTTTTTTTGACCGTTACAGTTTGCTTTTTCACTTTTCTTCACTGCTTCACCATTTCACTTTCTCATTCTCAGTATACTACCAGCTTCGTGCTTCACTTCTCAGTTTGCATTACTATTTTCAGTGCTTCACTTTCTTAGTATCCATCACCACCATTTCAGTTTCTGATAATCCATTACCAGGTTCAGTGCTTCAATTCCCAGTTTGCATTACCACCATTTCACTTTCTAGTATCCAGTGGCAGCTTCAGTGCTTCACTTCTCAGTTCTCACCGTGAACCTTCAAGTCCCTCTGTCACAAACCCACATCCTAACCCAACGTGAACCCACCGTCAACCCACCACCGTCAACCCGCAAATGCCTCCGTCACAAACCCACCGCGAACCCACTTTAGATCCCTAACCGTGAACCCGGAAATAGATCTGTCACAAACAAACCCACCGTGACAGATCTGCCACACACAAACCCACCATGACCCGATTTGTCACAAACAAACCCACTGTGATAGATCTGTCACACACAAACCCACCATGACCCGATCTGTCACACACAAACCCACCGTGACACGATCTATCCAAAACAAACCCACCGTGACCCGATCCTTTGCAACCCAACCACCGTGACCCGATCTATCCACAATAAACCCACCGTGACCCGATCCTTCGCAACCCAACCACCGTGACCCGATCTATCCAAAAGGAACCCACTGTGACCCGATCCTTCGCAAACCCACACCCCCATCTGGATCAAACCCACCTCAGATGTTGTTTTACGTTTTTTATTTGTTTGGCAGGAATTGATTGTGAATGGGTTTTTGTTTGATTTGTGTAAAAGGGGATGATGTTTTGCGTTAATGGTGTGAATGGGTTTTTGTTTGATCTGTGTAGAAGAGGATGCTCTTTTGCGTTAATGGTGTGAATGGGTTTTTGTTTGATCTGTGTAAAAGAGAATGCTTTTTGCGTTAATGGATACAGAGAATGCTTTTTGTTTGATCTGTGTAGAAGAGGATGCTCTTTTGCATTAATGGTGTGAATGGGTTTTTGTTTGATTTGTGTAGAAGAGAATGCTTTTTGCGTTAATGGATACAGAGAATGCTTTTTCCGTTAATGGATTGTTGAATGGGTTTTTGTTTTGTTTTATTTGGTTTTTGTTTTATTTGGTATTTGGAATGGTTTTTGTTTTATTTGGTATTTGGAATGGGTTTTGCTTTTATTTGGCATTTGGCACACGCATGTGAATGAGTTTAATTTGGCATTTGGCACATTATTGTAATTGGTTGTTTATTTTGTTTGGCACGGGAATTTTTTTTTTTTTTTTCGTTTTTGTTTTATTTGGCATAGGCATGAATCCTTTTCAATGCGTTTTTTTTTTTGTTTGGCAAACAGATGAATTGTTTTAATAAGTTTTTTGTTTTGTTTGACAGGTTTTTAATCTCCTGTACACACACCCTTTAATTGTGTTTGATGTTTCTCTGTCTCAGAGAAGGGAAATAAACCCGCGAAGTATCCAAATCTAGTTTGTAAGTTTCCGTTACCTATTTGTTTTCAAGTCACCGAGACGCTATTTTTTTCATTTTTTTTATTGGAAATACTTTGTGTTAATACTGTTTTTTTCTTTTCATTAATCCTTTTAATTTGGACTTTAACAATGCGTTTTGTAATTAGTTGACTAAAATATTTTA